ACAATTTTTTCAGTCAAATCAAGGCAATTAGCTTTAACTGTTACGATGAAATTGAGTAAATTTCATTAGACGATATTGATATTACGAACGCGTTTCTTTTAATTCTTATGGAACATTCATAATTAATTATTGAATGAAAAGAATGTAGGGGTATATTGCAACAATTTTTTTATTAAAGTTGAAAATATTTTACACCATATTAGAAATATCAATATTGATTTTAAATAACCTGAAAATAACAGTTTGGCTTGAAGGCCACCACTTTAAATGCGATAATAAGACTCTACCACTAGATGTCGAGTGAAGTTATCTGCAAATCTGCAAGTGGCAAAGTTAAAATAATCGTATAAATTCTCATTCCGTCGTTAGTTTTTCAATATAATTGTTGACTTTTGTATCTGTTACGATGAAATTGAGTAAATTTCATTAAACGATATTGATCTTACCAACGTGTTTCTTTTAACATTTATGGAACCTTGTAAATTACAATTAATGAAAAAGAGTATTCAACTAATTTTTTTATTTGACAACTTTTGAGTTGAAAATATTGTAAACCTGTTAAAAATATCAATAACCAATTTTAACGATTTTCCTTTTTCAATTATGTTACAGTTATTGTGCGAATTTGAAATAACCTGCAAATGACAATTTAGCCGTTTCAAAAAAATTTAGACCAGTTCTCGTTCACTCTACCACTAGATGGCGAGTACACTTATTTATAAATCTGCAAGTGACAAGGTAAAAATAATCGTATAAATCTGGCAACCGGAACATTTTAGTGTTAATATTTGGAACGCGTTACGGAATCCCGGTCGATTGTAATCGACGCCGGAATGAAAATATATTTGTGCGAGTGCTCGGGCCAGTCTTTTTCTGCCTCACTGTGCCGCTATCGCAATTGCTTCTTCCATTGTAGTGCGCCATAAATCCATGTCTAAATTGGAGCTCAACTCTTTCAAATTTATCGAAATAATTGTTGATAATGCTATTATATCATTCGTGTCTGACATAATAGTTAATACAAATTCATCGCGTGGATTGATATAAAATTCAACGTCATTTTAAGGAGGCCGATGGCCCATTATTATGGCTTTAACCCATTAACGACCAAAATGCTCGATTTTTTTGTTAGTTTTTGCTGTGATTTTTTTTGTAGTTTGAGGCCTCCAAAAAGTTTCGTATGGACCTATTTCGATGTAAAATTTAATGTCCTTTCAGATACTGAGCTCAAAATTTCAATTCTTTGCGTAATAAAAAAGTTATGGCTACTTATACGAAAAAAAACGTAAAATTTTTTGCAAAAAATCAAGATTTTGATTTTTTTTTACCATGTTACCGTTAGGGAATCACGATATAAATATGATCAGGGGTGATCACGACTATCAAGGTATCTCAGAAAATTTTTATGGAATTTTTGAACTCCTTTCCAAATTTTGGTTTTTTGCACTTTTTCTCTAAATTCAGTAGTTTTCGAGTAAAAATGAGTTATGTTTTATTGAATATATTCATATTTCGTTTTTTTTCGTATAAGTAGCCATAACTTTTTTATTACGCAAAGAATTGAAATTTTGAGCTCAGTATCTGAAAGGACATTAAATTTTACATCGAAATAGGTTCATACAAAACTTTTCAGAAGCCTCAAACTACAAAAAAAAAATCGCTGCGAAACCCAACAAAAAAATCAAGCAGTTTGGTCGTTAATGGGTTAATATGACTTAAATATGTAACTCAACTCTTATCAAGTATCCGATATACCCCAAGTTTGATTTTTATTTCAGGAAAAGTAAACAATTATTGCGAGTCCCTGCGCCGATCATCTGTAGGATCTTGTGATACTCGGTAGACCTGTGGTTGGCCGATGAAATTATAAATATATAGAAAAATTTATTTAAAACATTGCCCAATCTATTAAATATACTTTATTTACATCTATCAATTTTTACAAATATTTTGTTCACCCAGAAATTTAATTTACTGAATAGTGCTGTTCGATTTGCATACCGATAGTGTCGACGCCTGGATTTTTATCACGTCCAGATCCGGCATTTTTTGACCGAAAAAATGATTGATATCATGGACAGATAGTTTTTTTATTACCTTTTTAATGGACTATGATTCATTCAACGTGTAATATATAAAAACTTATATCGAAATTACAAATTATATAATTCGTGTCATTACTAAACTTGAAATAATTTTTTTATTGTAATATGCAAAAATTCCACTAATATAGATAGTAAATTTTATAAAAAATTAACGATTCAGAATGATATGAAATGTTGCATGAAAAAAGTTGCTAATACTTTTGAGCAGGCGAAAAACATTGAACAAATCTCGATGGTCTGCGTTTTAGTTCGTGTACCTCCGTAGCAAGTCAAACTCACATACATATTCCAAAGTCGATAAGGTTGTTAAAGTCTACCTCTCTCGGAGTAGTCTTATCTCACCTAGTATCATTATTTATGAAAATGGTATCAAATGTGCACTTAACATGTAGGAGTCTCGCTGTGGGCGGAGCTCGGCTCGGTGCATTCGCGAGGCCAATGACGTTACACGAGCAGCGCTGGGCGCTGTAGCACGTATTACTGTCAGCCATATGCCGCTGCGTGACGTTACGCTGTAGTACATACAACACTTACCTAATGCAAATTGATAAGAATTTTTGCGAAAGCATTGCTCACAGGCAGGTGGCACCTCCCATTGTGTTAAGCTGTGTGCTCCTTTCTCGACCTCTGTTAAGTTCGAGTGTTGATAGTTTTGTAAAAGAACTTTCAATTTTTAAATTTAAATTAGAAAATAAAATGAATGAACTTTTTTAAAGAGAACAAATGCCAAAATTCAAAACTTTTCTCATGGAATCAAGGAAGTTGGATGTTTACTTTAATAAATGATCGTGTTCTTTACAATAACAACTATTTATTATTTATACGTAGTTTATTAGTTGAGTTACATGAGTAAATTTATAATTTTCTAACGCTCGCAGTTCGGAGTGTTATTACAGGAATAAGAAAAAGAAAAAATCCTTTATTGCTCGCCGGACAGTCGCCTTTTTCTTCTTCTTTTTTTTTATCTTAAATTCATTCTCTTTGCAAATCGTCACGACTCTATACAGAAGAAATTATTCATTTTTTTTATTCGCAACATATATCAATATATGTGTGTATGTATACCCATTGCTAATTACAAAAGCAAAAATAAAAACGCACTCGTCAGCTTACAGCCATTATACATTATTATTCAGCTAACCAGAAAATGCCGTGTTTTTTTCGTATATTATATATATAATACGTTGTAGTAGTACGCTACATAATAATGACTACGTACAGTTGCAATACGTGCGCGGAATTGCCCACGAAGTATATTACGATTCAAATACGATATACTTCTATCGATGGCAAAAACTGCGACACCCATTCAACTGCCTGCTCGGGAAAATACTATATGCAAAAAGCAAGAAAAGAATCGCAGGTTGTCGTGTGCTTTGCGTGACGATGATTGCCGCAGCGATATAAACACCCTTGGATTTGTCATACACATATCATCATAACATCATCAAGGAGAATTAATTCTTTTATAAATATACGAGTTAATTTTGTATTTTTTTTTACTTTATCTATTTGTTATAGTTCTTACTCATAGGTGTCGTTTTTTTTATTCGTGCGTGTGTTTTTGCGAATCTCTGTGTGTATGTGTACGTGTGTGATTGTGTGCGTCGATATGTGTGTACATGAGAGAGGGAAAGAGTTTCGACTGTTCGTGTATACATAAGTGTAAAATGTATATGAGAAATGTGATGCGATTACAATCCGGCAACTGCAGGTATGAGTCAGCGATCGGGGATTAAATTCTCATTTTCTACTTATACAATGTAATTTTTTTTTTCTTTACTAGCCCGGATATTGCCGGTATTTTTATGTATGTAGACATATACCATAATTACTTAAATTTTACAACACAAGAATACTGTTAAAAACATGTTTTTTTTCTCGTTACTTATACGACTAAAAAAAATTTGTACACTTGTTTTTTTCAAAGATTGAGTTTCTTCGACGACGCTTCGCCTTCGATCGATGGCAATATCTTTTTTTCTCTTTTAGGAAATAATTGATTCTTATTCGTGAAATTCAATTTATAGATGATAAATTTTTGTGTAAATGATCGAGGCAGACAGACGGTGTATAAACGAGAAAATTGCAATTTGGTCAAATCGATGCTACCTTATACAAAACTAATGAGTCTTTCGATTTCAAGAGCGCGGAGCGAGGATTCTTGTATTCTTATACCTCGGGATTGCGGTGCATCAAACGTGTGAATTTTTGAAAGTCATGACAAAATAGTGGGTATCCAAACTTACTTTGGCACGCACAAGTTTTGCTTTGGGTCGAAACGATTACTTTTTATTTTATATACTTTTATTTATAATATTTATATTGAAGACGTATCCGACTTACCTCGGTACAAATGTTTAATCACGTGAATCCATTATTATTGTTATCTTTACAAAAATGATTGAATTTTTTAAATTCTGAATGATCAAATTAATTTTTTGTTTAAATTCTTGTATTGAAATCATATTGTTTATCTCGAAATATTACGTAATCAACGACTTTGAAAAAATCACTCGTATCGAATTTTCTCTAAAAAAGTTTTCATGCACGGTATAATCGACCTCTCCATAATCATTAGCTCGTGCATCGATGCCACCTTACAAATACGATGTAAGCTTTGACGTTACATTCATGGAAGAAAGTTTCTCTCGTTCGCTTCTTTTAATTTTTAATATTGACGATTCATGAGTAACAGTGATAATCAATTGAGCTAATGACAAATACTAATTACGATGATAATGATAATATCATTCGCGACTGTGACCGAGACGAGATGTGTATATTTTAAATACCAAGTCACAATGGACGATAATGAAGATGATGCGATGAAATTTTCTATATAATATAATTATATTTATATACTTTATATTCATATTTATATATTTAGCATGAACGAACGAGCCACGTTTTTATTTTATTTTTTTTTTATTCTCTTAACTTTATTTATAAATATAATAAAGAATCTTACGAATACGATGGACTAACTATTTTTTTTATTTTTCAATCGGTTGGTTTATCAGTGCGAACGGTATATAATAGTTCGATCTTCGATTCGCTCTCGTATATAACTATATTTGCATCCATACGTTTAACCATGTTACGTTTATAATAATATTTATATAATGTATAGACTAAAGTCAAATTTTTATTTTCTCCTCGTTTTAAAAACGATTTTCACGCTCATGCGTACAAGGACTCGGGCGAGCGTCCCTCGATGAAGCAGTCTTTAGAATTATCTCTCACAATTTTTCATTTATATTTTTTATATGTATAATATAATATATGTACGACATCGTTATACTCAATTCTCATTTTCACGTTCTTCGCGTAGTTCGCATCCTGTATCGCTAATATGTACAACATCCCGCGCTCGTATCGTCGATACGATTGCGCGCGGATCACGTTTATTCTCTTATTTATATTATGTTCTATTAAAAATTATTTTATAGTCGATAAATGAGTACGATATTTGAAATATACTCTTTTCGTTTTTACCGCGTTTTTAATGAATGCCATTCGTCGTCTTTCATGAGTCTTACATACGCAACTTTAACTACAATAAAATGTTTAAAATTTCTTACTTAATTCTCAGTAAGTATATATATATATATATATATATATTTATAATTGTTACTTCCCTACGTAATTACGATAGAAACGATGATTGTGTTTTATAATAAACGCCCAAAATTCTTTCCCAGCGTTTCTCGATGTGTGAGTGTGCCATGTCGCATCAGAATGTAAGATCGAAACGGAGATGTTATTTTTTTTTCATCGTGATTCACATTCACGTGTACTTGGCGGAAGAGCGTCGATCTCCCCTTCGGAAAATGGCAGTTGGATCACTGGTTTCAATGTTGCGGCGGCGGCGACGACAATCTGCCTGCAGCCTCGGACTACGCTATTTTCTAGGTTGCACTGGTGAAGAGGACCGAGTTCTTATAGTAGCCTGCGCGTGACTCTGCAATGCATAAAAAAGATACCAAGTTTTTCTCTATTCAAATGGTCCACGATTTAATCGAGTTATCAAGATAAGTATATTTAATTGACTATATTCATAAAATAGGCATAAAGGGTCTATTAAAAAGATCATCGTTGGAGGGCCTCCCAACAGATGCTTCGTCGTTGTCGTTGTTAAATGAAAATTTCTTATACCACAGTACTCTCGGGTAGGGGTAGGGGGGAGTGACGATGTCGATTTAATTGAAAATTTTACGCGAAAATCACACTCGACGCAAAAAGTCGTGCGCGCCGCGCGCACTCCAACTTCGACTCCCTTTTGCTAACTTGCGCGAAGGCTCGAAACTTAAAGAAAAGACGAGTATAATAAGTTTATCGGTGGATAGGGAGCAGCAGCGACGTTGCAACTATACATAGGCGTCGTCGTCGTCGTCGGCCGGGGGAGAGTGCAATAATCGAACTCGCGCGCGTTCCATCATACAGAAAACTCGAACACTGCACTTTTTGTGCGCGTCGTCGTCGTCGAGTGCGAGCCCGAAGAAGAAGAAGTAGAAGTAGCAGAAGAAGAAGAAGTGGCGCATGCAAGAAGGGGTCCAAAACTTAGGCCAAAAGTTATCGCAGTCGTGCGTTAAGAAGTAAGTGTATGCGAGTAGGGCTATAAGAAACACTGAGCCGAGCTCGGGCACAGCTGAGCCAAGCAGCAGCCAACTTCACGTGCGAGTTTCTAATTAAAGATCGAACTTCGGATTTCGGGCGCGCGCTCGAGTATTAAACTCCACCTCGCTGGTGGTGGTATATAATAATTGTATAGGAATTTTGTGCACTGTGGCAGTTTTTCACTCACTCGCAAGAAGAGAGAGAGAATGGAAAAGTCTAGCGCGGCTTGGGAAGAAATATTGAGTTTTCCTCGTGGCTAGGCCTTCGTACTTCTTTTTTGCGCGGCCAAACTGCACACGCGATGTTTCAAAGTTCTTTATGCGTTAATTAAAATTAGTTTTTTTTATGAAAAAATACTTTCCTCGAATTCGTTAAAAAAGTATTTTCTAATTGCGAATGCGGAAAAAAAGTTTCGCAAGAAAATTATTGTTTAAATAATATTAAATAACTTGGAACGTGCGAGCTAACCTTGAAGAGGAGATTTGACTTGATCTCTGTCGGAGGAGGAATGCTGCCGCTGCTTCCTCTCGATCTCGAACTCAGCTAGCGATTCTGCAATCAAATGAATAAGAGAAAAACACATTAGTAACGATATAAAATAAAATAAAATTAAATTGATAAAGGACAAAAACTGTGTTGAATGATGTGTATGTCAGGATGTTTATTGAATATTATCACGCTTGTCAAGGGCTCTGATGCGATTTAGTCTTTTGGAGAAGTTCGCAACCCTTTGCTCTCCGTATATAAGTTCCTATGCGCATGCAAAAAACCACATTTATCCTTCCACGTAGAACGTAATCTCTCTCTCTCTCTCTCTCTCTCTCTCTCTCTCTCTCTCTCTCTCTCTCTAGGAAGCTCGGGTGCGGCAGGCAGAGGAAAAGCAAATCAGTGAGACGGAAAAGAGCCACGCGCGCAATGCCTTGTATATCTTCGCTACATATAATACATCGTCGTGTATACATTGACGCGAAGAGAAAGAGAGAGAGAGAGAGAGAGAGAAGCGAGTTGGTAATTAGCAAAAGGGATTATACGGTATATAAAGGCATAAATAAGCTGATGCGGCAATGATGAGTGAGTGAGAAAATACGCGTGACTGCTGTGCTGTGCGCTTACTACAGAATTCACTGAATTTTCGGCTTGTGGGTAGATTAGGCGCTTGGGTATCGGATATGGAGCTCGGATGGGCAGGTGCAAAGTTGTAAAATGTCCCTCTAATAGCATTAAACACCTAGAGATACGTGCGCGCAATGTGAGCTATTCGAGTATAGCTGGAGCTGCAACGCTCGGTATTTTGCCGAACTAATCGTTTATAATTTACGTGAATTAACTTTGATTATACTCGTGAGATCGGATTTGTGCGCTTTTCATAAATACGTAGATTTTCTATCATCTTTTCCTTTGCACATTTTTTCATTTCTTATTTTTCCGTAATATGTTTACTATTCAAGCAGACATGAGTTACGTTACTTAATTTTTTCAATTACATTAATTATAATGACTTAGTTTCACTCCATGATTTGTAATTGTAAATATAATTAAATAAAATCTACGATGCATGGAAAAACTGGCAAAGAACACATAAAGCTGTGCTCGCCATATTTTGAAAAACTGTGTTTATGAGACGCTATAGGGCGTTTTCAGATTGTCACGAAATGGTCACTTTACTGATTTGCCTGGAGGAACAACAAACAAGGTGCTGCGGGTTAAGTAAATGAGAGACCTTGTTTGTTGTTCCTCCAGGCAAATCTGTAAAGTGACCATTTCGTGACAATCTGAAAACGCCCTATAGCTCTTGCTCGACCGCGTGCCGAGTAACACACGGAGCGGTCACGCATGCCACTACCTAGTAATTGTAAACAACAGAACGAGCTCTCTGCTCTTCATAAGTTTTCCCGTGCAATTTGCTCGATCAATACAGAGAGGTTAACTGTTAGCGAAATTCCATGTGAAATCCAAGTGAAAATGGAATCCAGTGGTTTATTTAATTATTCTGTCAGGTAATTTTCATTTTATGAAAATGAAATTATGAAAATACTTTAACACAATACTTGATCTGATTGAGGTTATTTCACAGTAAAAGAGGAGCCTAGTGATGTATTTTTCAGTAGACATAATTATAAAATGATTGACGAAAACCCCGATCATAAAAACCCAACTCCTACCATTTTCACCAGAAAATTCGGTAAGATTTAATAATTACAATCAATTCGTATTATAGTTGTTTTTTATGAAAATGCTCACATAGTTTTGATTTTCCTGCAGGCCCATACCCCTCGGAAATGTGAATTCGATGACGAAGTGGAAATAGTCGGTGAATTTGAAGACGTCAAGCCGAACATTCACTTATTAGCGGTTAAGACAGTTGACGATGATTCTTCAAATCACTTGTCGAATAAAAAAGATACCGATGATTATGAAACTCGGAACATAATCAAAGTAGAAAACGTGAGCGAAGTGAAACAGAAGACATTAGTGATGTTGCAGTAGAATCGACATCGAATTTCGATCGTGGACTTGTCCAACATAATGAAGAGAGGGGAATGACCAAAAAGTTTAACAACAAACATAACCTCAAAAAACACATTGGTACGGTGTATAATGATACAAAAAACGTATGCAAAGTATGCAAAAAAAATTTTTCCCGTGTGAGTAAACTAAAAACACATGTCAAATTATCCCACAATTGTAATAGCCACTGCTCATGGGACATATGCGGCAGGACATTTACTCAAAAAAGCAGTCTCAAAATCCACATCGATTCAGTGCAAAATTGTGTCAAATACTCATGTGATGTATGCGGAATGCGGACGCGGAATGCGGATTCATTGCATAATGGAATCATACACTCATGCAATTTTTGCGAGAAAAAATTCAAAACTAGACGTAACCTCAAATACCACAAAGACGTGGTGCATAGAGGCATCACTCATGCTTGCGATACATGCGAAAAGAAATATACAACGAAGAGTAATCTTCAAGCCCACATTAATTCGGCCCATCGATAGCGCATTATAACTTCATGAATGTATAAAATTAAACGTATGTTTTGAATGGCTTATTAAAAATTTTCTGTTATAACAACATTAAGAGTTGATGCTATCTCATTATGTAAGAACAATGTTTGAATTTCAAAAGAATCAATAAAATTTCAGAAGTAAATATAAATAAATTAATTGTAAACTAATAAAATGTTGAACACCTCAAATTGATATCTATTTCATAATGCTATAGTCACTATTCAGCATACCTTGATCGCCCTGAATTTTTTGCAACCTTTATTCGCGACTGAGTTACATCTGCGCCGGAGAAAATAATGTAGAGAAAATTACTATACCATTGCAAATTTTACTAAGTTAGAGGATAAAGATTACAATTAAAATTACACTCGCGCCATTTACAGTTTTGAACAAGTCATTAAAAAAACTCTGAACTGAAGCATAAAGAGCTAGGAGCCAAGTATCCAAAAAACGGACAGAGTAATTAGTAGTATGCGAAATCTGGTTACAAAATTAAACACCACAACGATCACAGTGTACAAAGGTGTAATGATAATTAAACGCCCGAAGTTAAGGTAAGACAGAATAATTTTGGTACAATTTTCATTGAAATTATTGAAAAATATTTACACAAATATATGTACATAAGAATCAATACATAATTAGAATTGTGACTGATCATTTCTTCTCGTAATTGCGATGTGCGTCATCTTTGCAACCTTCATGAACTGTCTTTTGGTGAGTGAGCAAACTCGATTTTATTGTAAATTTTATCTTACACTTGTCACATGCAAAATCTTTCTGACCTTTGTGGACTGTCTTTTGGTGTGAAAGTAAAATCCATTTGTATCCATATTTCTTATCGCATTTGTTACATACGTAATCTTTGCGACCTTCATGAACTATCTTTTGGTGGGAGAGCAAACTCACTTTTTGTGTATATTTCTTTTCACACTTGTCACATGCGAAATCTTTACGACCTTCATGGACTGCCTTTTGGTGAATGAGCAAATTGCTTTGAACCCCAAATTTCTTTTCGCATTCATCACATGCGTAATCTTTGCGACCCTCGTGGACTGTCTTTTGGTGAATGAGCAAATTGCTTTGAACCCCAAATTTCTTTTCGCATTCATCACATGCGTAATCTTTTCGACCTTCGTGGACTGTCTTTTGGTGTTCGAGCAAATGTGATTTGAATCCAAACTTCCTCTCACATTTATCGCATGCGAAATCTTTGCAACCTTTGTGTACTGTCTTTTGGTGTCTTCTCAAATTACTTTTATCCCCAAATCCCCTCTCGCAATGGTCACATACATAATCTTTGCGACTTTCGTGAACTGTCATTCGATGCTTAATCAAAAGCACTTTTCGGGTAAATTTTTTCTCGCAACTATCGCATGCGTAATCTTTACGAACTTCGTGTATTTCTCTTTGGTGTCTGAGCAAAATCGATTTATTTTTAAATTTCTTCCCGCAATTGTCACATGAATAATCTTTGAAAACTTTGGAGGTAGATACATTGAAACCTTCGTGTACTCTCTTGAGGTGGAAGAGCAAGTGCGATTTTTTTCTAAACTTTTCCCCGCGCTTGTCACATGCGAAATCTTTGCAATCCTCATGGACTTTTTTTATATGTAAGAGCAAAGTCTGTTTATTTCCAAATCTCTTCGCGCACCTTTCACATAAGTAATCTTTGAAAACTTCATGGAATATTTTTTTATGTTTGAGTAAAGTTAATTTGTTTTCAAATTTTCTCTCACAATTATTGCACCTGAAATAGTCTCGATCTTCGTGTATCAATTTTTGATGTATAAGTAAACTCGATTTTTTCATAAATTTCTTCTCACACCCGTCGTACGAAAAATCTTTCCGGACTCTGTGCTCTAATATTTGGTGTCTACTCAAATGACTTCGGAACTCAAATTTCTGTTCGCACTTGTCACAAGCGTAGTACTTTTGTTTATTGTGAATTATCTCTCGATGTGCTACCATGCTTGATTCTAGTGTAAATGCCTGTTGACAAACTTCACAAACGTATTTTTTTTCGTCTGAAACAACAATGTCGAGTTGATTTGAATCATCTTTTGAGATAATTTCGTCGGATTTCTTCTCACTTGTATCCATTGTGTTGCTTAAACTAGACGATGTATTATTCATGTTAGTACCAAGGAAATTTGAATAATTAAAGTTTATCTTTTGGTATTATGGCTTGTTTCATTGGGGAAGACACGATTCAAACTAATTTATTTCACTATAAACATGATCAGGATATTGTTTACATTTCAGTTACCGATTTATCTATTTATGTAATATATGAAACGATTTAACATTCTAAATTTAGGGACAATTCCTTCGAGAACATTTTCGGCCTTCTAAAACTAAGCACTTCCGAAGAAACTTTGACCACATCGAGTTCGCTCAAAAAGCATCAATTACTGTACGGAAGCTTAATCATTTTAAAACTGTTTGGTACATCAATTTTGTTGAAGATGATATATTCCAACCATTGACTTGTTACAAAGCATACTTGACATATCCGTAAAAGTACAGTACACA